TGTATACCATGTAAGAATGACCAGAGTTTGCTTTTTCTACTTAGATGATCATATTGCCTACAAAGACAGTGCCTGGCTTATTTCACTTAGCATAATGTCCTCAAGGTTCATCCATTTTGTGGCTTGTGTCAGTATTTCCTCCCCTTTTAAGACTGAATAACATTCTATTGTATGTATATAACATATTTCATTTTTCCACTCATCCATCAATGGGCACTTGAGTTGCTTCAACCTTTTGGCTATTGTGAATAATGCTGCTATGAACACAGGTGTACAAATATCTGTCTTCAGTTCTTTTGCATATATGCCCAGAAGTGGAATTGTTAAATCATGTTTGTTCTTGTTTTAAGTTTTTGAGAAACTGCCATACCATTTTATACAGTGATTACATCATTTTGCATTCATACCAGTAGTGTAGAAAGGTTCCAATTTCTCCACATCCTTGCCAGCACTGTTGTTTTGATAGTGGCCATGCTAATGGATATGAGGTGGTATCTTATTGTCATTTTGATTTGCATTTCCCTAATGGCTAGTGATATTGAAGATGTATTATGTGCTTCTTGGCCATTTGTATATCTTCTTTGGAGAAATATCTATTCAAAACAATATGGTATTGTATGTCTATACAAAAAAGTATATATTATTGTATGATTCCATTTATAAAAAACACTAGGAATTGCAAATTCAATTCCTTTGCCTAGTGTTAATAGGATGGGGATTTTTGTTGTTGTTGAGCTGTAGGAGTTCTTTATATATTTTGGACATTAACTCCTTATCAAATATGTGACTTGCAAATATCATCTCCCATTCTGTGGATTGCCTTTCAGTGTGTTAATTATGTCATTTGTTGCATGGAAGTTTTTATTTGATGAAATCCCATTTATTTTTTCTTGAATGTGTGTTTTTGTTACAGACCAATTTTCTATGTAAATAAGTCAATTTCTCTACTTCTCAGTTCTATTATCTGTCATTATGTCAATATCATACTCTCTTAACTGAGATTTATAGTAACACTTGAGAACAGTGTATTAGCCCTCCCAGTATATATTTTTTTGAAATTTATTTTGGCAGTTATATCTTCTTTAAATTTCCATCTAAAATCTAGAAATACTTTTTAATTTCCATCTAGGGAAGATATACAGATGGCAGATAAGCACATAAAAATTTGCTCAATATCATTAATTATTAGGGAAATAAAAACTAAACCTAGAATGGATACCACTACACACATAGTAGAATGGCTAAAATGAGAGGTTCTGACTGTACTAAGTGTTGATGAGGATGTGAAGTGACTAGAAGTTTATAACTGCCAGTAGTTTCTTGAAATGTTAAATATATACCCACCCTGTGGCTGAGCTATTTCAGTCCTAGATATTTAGCCAAGAAAAATGACAGCATATGTCCACACAAAGTTTATTTGTAATAATTCCAAACTGGAAACAACCCAAACGCCCATCAATAGATGATAAATGGATAAAGTTTGGTATATCCAAACAGTGGAATATTACTCAGAAATAAAAAGGAATTAACAACTGATTAATTCCTGAATTAATTATAATAATAAACTGAATGAATCTTAGTATCATGTGAAGTAAAAGAAGCCAGACAAAAAAGAGTATATTATTGTATGATTCCATTTATAAAAAATATTAGGAAATGCAAATTAATCTATAGAGACAGTAGATCAGTGGTTGTCTGGAAAAAGGGATGCATTTGCTTTTTCATTTGTTTTTGTTTTCTGTTTTTCTCTTTTCTTGTTGTGACAAGAACACTTAATATGAGCTCTAACCTCTTAAAATAGTTTTAAGTGCACAATACAGTATTGTTAACTCTATAGGCCACAATGTTATGCAATGGATCTCTATAACTTACTCATCTTGCATAATTGAAACTTTATGCCTGTTGGAGATCAACTCCACGTTTCACCTCCCAGCCCCTAGCAACCACCACTCAACTCCACGTTTCTTTTAGTTTGACTATTTTAGATGCCTCATGTAAGTAGAATCATGTAGTAACTATCCTGTGGTTGACTCATTTCACTTAGCCTAATGCCCTCCAAGGTCATCCATATTGTCTGATATTGCAAAATTTCCTTCTTTTTTAAGGCTACTGGTATTCCATTGTGTGTATATACCACTTTAAAAAAAAATTCATTCATCCATCAGTAGCCTTTTAGATTGTTTCCACAACTTGTCTATTTTGACTAATGCTACAGTGTACATGGAATGCAGATATCTTTTGGAGAACCTGATTTCATTTGTTTTAGATAAATACCCAGAAGTGGGGCTGCGGTATCACATGGTGGTTCTATTTTTTATTTTTTCTAAATTAAAAAAGAATTTCCCATAGTGGCTGCACCAATTTACATTTCCACAAACAATCTGCAGGGCTTCCAATTTCTCCACATTCTCACCCACACTTGCTATCTTTTTTTTTTAATATTAGCAAACCATACATTTAATAAGGAGTTAGTGTGCAAAATATGTAAGGAATTCCTACAACCCCATAGCAAAAAATAAAAGTAAAATATAAATAACCTAATTTAAAAAAATGGGCAACAGACTGAATAGACAATTCTCCAGAGACATACAAATGGCCAACTGGTATATGAAAGATGTTCAACATTCACTAATTATTAGGAAATGCTCCCTTTTTTTAAGCACCCCAGTTGATTGTAAGGTAGGGCCAGTTTGGAAACACTGCTTCTACAGCGTTGCCACAGCTCAGATTCCACCCTGCCTGCCTCTTTGTATTCCTGTGTAAGATGAGCTCAACCCACGCTTTTTTTTCCTTTTTTTTTAAAAATAACCAGTTGTTGTCTGGCAGAAAGTCAGCAGAAACAGGTTGCAAGGTGGGGAAGTCTGTCTGCTGGATGGGTACTTCTGGTGCATTGGGCTTACAGTCAGCCACAGAGCACAGGAGGGGAAAATCTTGGGGTTGCAAAGAGAGGGAAGGAGGAGGTGATGTGGTGCATTCTGTTAATTTGGTGTATTTTGTTTTAGGGCAGATTCTGCTTCCAAGGGGGACAGAAAGCAAGAAACTCGGATGTCGGTATGAAATGACTTTTATAGTTTTAAGGCAATACTTCCCAAATTTCAGTTATGTACATACCATCTTCAAAATATATCACCACTCTGCTCTTTATTATGTCTATTTTTAATTAAATTCATCTTAAACTTACCATAAAAGCAATAATTTTGCTTTCAAATGGACCATTACTTGTGACAAATAGTTTAGCCCAAAATGAAAGCAATAGAAAATAGCAGTGCTGCCATATTTCAGTGTCTTTGTAGTAGACTTGGAGCCTAGAGCCCGTTCTTGCTTTTGTTAAAAAAGGTTAGTAAGTAGAGAGAAGTGTTAAAGACCTTCTAGCACCTGAGGTTTATCCTGAATAGAATCGGAAGTGTGAATGAATTAAAAGGAAATGTTTTACTCTGAGCCAATGACATGGATTCGTCCCTGTGTGCACCAACTACTCACCAGCGTACCTCTGGCTTTGGAAAGCATAGTGCTCAAATTCTGTAGTCAGTGCATTAAAAAAAGGAATCCCTGTAATAAACATTAAATGAAATTTAAAAAAATTGAGATCATGGCTTCAAACAAACGAGTTAAGGCTCCTTCTGGCTAGCTTTTAGCATTGGTTCTCATTCTCCACTGCCCAGGCTCTGAATTGGAACCACCAGGGCTGCTGAGGCGTCCTGAGGTCTGGATCCCTTCCCCGGAGACTCTGACCTAATTGATCCAGGTGATACCCAGGCACTGGGATTTTTTTAAAGCCCCCTCCTGGTGATTCTAATATGCAGCCAAAATTAAGAATCCCTGCTCGAGATTCTGTGGTTTTGTAAATAAATTTCAACACCTGTTTACATAAAAGCCAGAGACACTAGGAGAGCCCTGCTGCGTGGTTATTGGGTACATTTAACGATGCATTTAATGTATTTAACTTACTTGCTCTTTACAAGACACTGGGCTGAAGAACTCTGGAAAAAATGTGGGGGTTCCCTTAATCTTTTTTTTTTTCTTTGTAAGAGTAAAATGCAAATAGGCCTGGCTCACAAGGTTTCCTTTAAAAATGACCTCTACAAAATGTCGTTGAACTGCTGAATATTTTAAAGTAGGAGTAATTGGGTCCTCAAAAGTGAACTCATTTGAAAAATAGCTCCCACCACCCACCTTAAAGGCTGTGGATCATGCTGTTATAAACGAGGGTGATGCTGGTTCTCATCCTGAAGTAGCGATGGCCTTGGGGGCTGATTCTGCACTTGGCCATTTCGGGCATGGGGTGTATCATCCAGCTGATGCATTTCATATTTGAGAAGATTATGAGAGATACTTTCACCACGTGGTATGTTTGGAGTCACAGGATTCCTCCCTGGCCTGAAATGAGAATGCTCTGTTAGCAACTGAAAGGTGGAGCCCCTCTAGTGTCATGGGGTTTTAAGGATGAGGCCCTTTGGAGGGGAACAGTAACAGAGCTCCAATAGTTCTTTGTCTAAATCAAAACAAATTCCACATTAAACTTAAGCATAAATGTTATTTGTCACAGCATTTATAAAAATGAATCCAAAACCAGAAAAAGACTTAAAGATATATAAACATCAAAGTACAGTTGACTGAACCATTAGAACAGATTCAACTTGCCTTACGTCTCTAACCTTTATTGTCCAGGCTCTATTGCAAAATGCCCTATGGTTTAAATAGCAGTGACCCTCTTGTTTTTATTTTAGTTCCTCTACAGTGCAGACAAGCATGTCTTGCAAAAACTATTTTCATCATTTTCTTTTGTCACTGAGGTGGAGGATTGACTCATGAAATAATCTGTTTCTTCTTTTTTTCCCCCTCTCCTTACTTCTGAGCCTTTTATTGTGTAAGAGAGCCCAGTCTTCAGGGAGGGGGAGTCACCTCTTTTTTGTCTAACTTTGCGGTGGTATGTTAAACTGGACATAAATGGCACTGATGACCCTTTAATAGTTCTCATTCATTGTCTGTATTTGGAAAAGGTTAGTTACAAGAAACACCTCTTCTCAGAGAGTAACGAAGATTCAAGCACTAGTCCCAGTGAACAATCTTGGACCAGTAACCAAAAGAGGAAATCCCTAAAGCCATATCCTAGCAGAAAAAAGACAAGAGTCAGAAGTAGCCTACGAAGTAAGTTTGCTGTTTATCTTCTTCCAATTTACTTTTCAAATAAATCAAGTACTTAATTTTCACTATGTGGTGGGAGAGGGAGTGTATGATCATGTGACCTTCCTTCCCGGCTACAATTACATTGGAAAGACAAAATACACATACATGAAACAGCACAGAAGAATATAGGATTGACCAGTAGTTGTTACTTGTGAGCTGTAGATACATGGAGTCAGAGTTCAGATAAGAGGAACAAGACATGAGCTGGAATCATCAGTAAAAGCTTCAAGGAAAAGACAGGTAGGGCTTAAGCTAATCCTTTGAAAAAAAAGGAACAGGATTTGAGGAGGTGTGGAGAAGGGGAAGCATCTAAAACTCAGGTAAAACTATGAAGACAAAATGAGAAGGTGAGGTGAGGGCAGCATTCAAGGGTGGAGAATTCATGCTGGGTGGTGAGGAACAGCGAGAATGGTTGGAAAGGGATCTTCAGAGCTAGACACTTAAGCAAGCTGTAGGAATGGGGGATTGTTTCTAGCGTGGCCGCCTGGGTCTAAGAGAGGGAGAAATGAATGCGTTTCTCATACATAAACATTGCATTGTACGTGTTTCCTCCATTTTAGTCTTGCCACTTTTCCCGGCCAGCAGTGGCAGTGACCGTGAGAAAGACCAAGTAAGTACATTTATCTGGGCTGCCAAGTGCCCCCATGGCATTAGCATGAAACAGGCCCCTCTGTTTAGGGTTAGATTGCACTTATTTCTCAAAAAACTCTTCAGGACAATGAGTGTAACAACCCATTGGTTTACTGGTGTTTAAATCACTGCCAGTAGGAACTGCAAGGGCTTCTAAACATTTAATATGAATCTTGGATAAAGATTTAGGATCTTTTCTCAGTGCTCCCAAATTTGCTGAAAGAAGTTTATTGTGAAGGATGCTAACAATCTGGGCTCCTCTGATTACCTGCAAAATTCTTTCAAATTTACATTTAAAAATAAACTTGGTTTCATTCTTCCCTTCATTTCAGTTTGTTGACCAGTAACTTCCAAGACTTAATGACTTATATATTTAACTCTCTATTTTGCAAGTGGTTGAAATACCTTCAGACTTATATAAAATTGAATAAACCTTCAAAGTTTCTTAATTTCCCTCATGTATTCTTGTGTTACAGCAATGTAGCTAAGAATACGGACACCAGTATCCTCCAGACAAATGCAAAGTCAAGTTTTCGCCTATTGTAATTAGCTTCATTACTTCAGCAGCTGGCTTTTGTTCCTCGTCAAATGAGATATAGATAGAGAGAAACTGTAGGGCATAGTGCCACGTATGGAAGCATTTTCTAAGCGGATGGCTGCTGGGATTGGGAGGCCGTTGTCCGCCCCTGCCTACCTGTACAGAAATACAATGTGGTTAATGCTTCCATCAGATCCAGTTAATGCCCCCCCCCCCACTTTTTTCTTTTATCTTTTGGGTTTTTTTTTTTTTTTAAATCTAAGGGGCTCTCATGTTCTGTAATGAGAAAGATCGTTGATAGTTTAAACCTGTGAGCCAGAATAAAGACCTGCATATTTGTTGAATAGATCAACCTGAAGTAATAATTTATCAGGTGGAAATAGGCTAGAAGAACAGTTTTTAGTAAATACAGCTTTTGTTTTAAAGCAATACTAAAGAAGCATCAAAGCTTTGAGAATTCATAGATTTAAGTAAGCAATGCAGTTGACATCAGCGAGGGCATTGCTAACTTTGTGCAAATACTGGTGTTCAGAATTCCCTCTCTTGCACTGGAGCGTAAGAGAATAATTTAGAGCAGGAGTCGGAAAATTCTGTGAAGGGTGAGATAGTAAATATTTTAGGCTCTGTGGGTCATATAGTTTCTGTGACAACTGTTCACTCTGCCATTGCAGGATGAAAGCAGCCATAGACAGTACATAAGTGAATGGGTGCATTGTGTTCCAATAAAGCTTTATTTACAAGAGCAGGGAGTGAGCTCTAGGTTGCTGACTCTTGATTTAAAGCAGCCGTTCTTAAACTGTAGTGACTGTCAGAATGATCCTGACGGATTGTTGAAATGCAGATTGCTGGGCTCTGCAGCCAGAGTTTCTGACTGAGTAAATCGTGGGTGGAGCTGGAGAATTTGCATTTCTGCCAAGTCCCAGTGTTGCTGATGCTCTAGTCCAGCACCACTTGGAGAACTTTGATTTAGAGTTACCTTTGAGTGAGTTACCAAGTGTGCTTCTGACTCTGGAACCTTATGGTTTCAGGGTTTATTTTCAAATGGAGCAAATCCAATAGTTGAACTGAAAAAAGGATATTAGAAATGTCTCAGAATTTTTGAAAACTTGTTTTGAGTTAACACTTTTTAAAAAGTACTGTATTTTAGGCTAAACTTCAAACACCGCCATGGAAAGATACCTCCAGGCAGAATAATTCCATACCTCCAGAACTTTCTGAAACAACATTTCAGGGTAGTTCTGCCTTTTTAACGTCTAAAGATTCTGCCCAGAAAACAGGTACCTGATTTTCTGTTGATTTACATTAAAAAGTTGTATCTGGGAAAAGTAGTTTGAAGTAAACAAAACGTATTTCTTTAGTATCTGTTGGAGAAAGTGTGAAGATATGATCTTCTCTTTAATGTCCTCATTAGCAAAAAATAGAGGATATTGTGTTTTAATTTTGCTTCAACACTTATGATCAGCTTGTACATAAGACCATAAAATTGCTTGTGCTTTTCCACTTTTAAAGAAGCCAGAAAACTCAAATGATGACTTATCACAGGGGTTGGTAAACATTTTCTGTAAAGGACCAGATAGTACTTTTTTGCTTTTGGGCCCTTACAGTTCCTGTTGCAACTCTTCAGCTCCGCAGTTGTAGCTCCAAATCAGCCACAGACAAGATGTAAACCAATGGGTGTGGCTGTGTTTCTATAAAACTTCATTTATAAAATCAGGTGGCAGACTGGATTTGGCCTGAGGAGCCAGAGTTTGCCAATCCTTGCCCTTTAAGGTTGCTCTTAACCCCCACTGTATTTTATTAAAATTATTCTCATCTTTGATAGAACTATAAGAGTAGGGATTTTGTTTCATTCGCCTTTATCATCCGCAGCTTAAGCATGTTGTCAGGCACATAATGGCACTTAGTGTACGTGTGACTGACAGCCTCTTAGTGTGATTGCCACTGGCAGAAAAGAAAAGAGAAACGAGGAGAGCGGAAAATACAGCAGTAGAGGGTAAGAGGAAATAAGGAAGCAGAATCAAGAGAGAGAAAGAGAGGGTCGCAGGTTGAGTGGTAGAAGCCTTGCCCACATATTTGGGGCAGAGGGACAGCGACTCAGGTGCTGATCTAGTTGGGATAACTGGCTGTTCGTTTTGTCTACAGATCTACAAACTAATGACCACACATACCCTGAAAGACATGGTTTTTTGTTTTGTTTTTTTCATTTAGAACTGTGTCCCATTTTTTTTTTATGGTGAGATTTAATATATAGAGTGATAGTGAAATGTCATTGCCTGAACTTGCTTCTTAGCATGTTTATCTCTTGAAACTGTTCTAATACTCAGAACTGCAAAGCCCCGAGCCACTGAGCAATCTCTCTTCGGTGGAGCCCTCAGAAGCTGACAAAAATGTATCTGAGGTACTGTTGAATTATTGATGATCAGCTGTAATTAATATTACATTTGAATAACTTACTGGCTGATTCCCTGTTAAGGGGTAATGTAGCAACATTTGTTTCTCATTTTTACATTCTTACATGTATGTATGGCCTTATTTATTTTTAAGACTTTGAACCAAGAGTCATTGATGAAAAGTACCAGCTTCAAACATAAACTGCCGAAGTTGGAAGATGGAGGTAAGAGAATACTGAATTCTTTTTGCAGAATAAAGCAAAATTAATCTGATTTTTGCAGGCCAGCTCTTAGAAGATACAATCGCCTTGCAGAGTGACCCTTGCCAGGCCTTGGAGCGAGCAGTGTGATCTGCTTTCTAGCTCCATGCAGGCGTGAAGGTCAAGGAGAGGAATGGGAGGCTTCGCTCAGGAGCAAGAATGTCTTGTGTCAAGAAGTATACACCCTGCGCCTCAAATCCCATCAGCCAGCACACTTCCTCTCTGGCCTGAGGAGGGTTGCTGGGGGGCGCTTTCCTAAGGATCTGGTCTAGGGCTCTTTCCCAAAGTGATCAGGTCACTTGTAGTTTATAGCAATGTTCCAAAATATGGTGTGGTCAATGTATTAAAACTTCCAAATCCATCATCTCATGATAACAGTGATAAGAGGATTTCTGGAGCAGTTCACATTGCTGTGAATTAGTATAGCACCTAACCATGTTTTAGGATGTTTCAGAACTATTTGCTTTTTCCTTACATTTTAAATTAAATATCAGTAAGATTCAAATAGTTATAAATATTTGCATTATATTTAGTATATCAACCCAACAAACATCTGCAAATCACCATCCAGGTTAAGCAATACAACATTACTATTCTGAAGTTTTGATAGGCTCCACCCCAAACTCATCCCTGCCCTTTCTGCCATCACAGAATCTGTTAACCTTCATTTTATGTTTGATTCCACTGCTTTTATTTTTCACTTTTGTATTGTAAAAAATATAAAAAATTCAGAAGAGTGAAGTATGCAGTTTAGAGAATGATTATTAAGTGAGCACATGTGTAACCACAACTCAGTGAGAACTTGCCATTGACCTAGAATCCTCCACACTGGGTCATAACCTGTTAGTTCCCTCTGTCCGTCATCGTGGCAACACAACCCTGACTGTCGTGAAAATCTTTCTGTTGTTTTTTTTTTTTAATTTACCAACTTTGTTTTGAAATTTCATTTTATTATTTTTATTTTCAATTCAAGTATAGTTGACATGCAATAATGGTTCCGGTGTGCAGCATAATGTTTTGATAATTATAGATGTTATGAAATGCTCACTATGATAAGTGTAGTCACCATCTGTTACCACACAAAGTTATTACAATATGACTGTATTCCCTGTGCTGTATTTGATATCCTGGTGACTTATTTATTTTGTAATTGGAAGTTCTCACTTCTTTATCTCCTTCCTACTACTTTTTTTAGTTTACTACCTACTACCTACCTACTTTGCCCACCCTCCTACCCACAACTACCAGTTTGTTCTCTGTATTTATGAGTCTGCTTCTATTTTTTATTGTTGCTATTTGTTTTTTATTTTTTTAGATTTCACACATAAGTGAAATCATATTTGTGTTTGTCTTTTTCTCTATGACTTCTTTCACTTAGGTCAGATATCTAACTTACTCATGGTACGTTTTTTCATTTTGTGGTTACTGGTTATTTATGTACTTCCAGCTTCTAATTTTCCTTCAAAATTATGACGACTCTTTGAAGCCTAGGAAGAAGAGATTTCCTTCTTCACCCTTTTTGTTGTTCTTTTGTGATTTAATGCATTTTGGCCAGATTCTGCTTCATCTAGAATGAAGTAGATACCCATACCATACAATATAATCTACTCTGAAGGTATTTGTCTTTGAGTAGGTGATTTAAGCCTTTCATTGATACAACACATTTTTGTCCCAGTTCTGTCACTATTGTATATGATGTTGCATTTTTAAGGATTTACAAATTATTTTGTCATGTGGTCTTCTTTTAAAAAAGTATTTGATTGTAGCTTTTAATTTAGACAGCTTGATTGGGTATAAATATTTGAGTTATTCATTTTTGAGGACCTTGTAACATTCCATTGTCTCCTAGGGTTGGATTGTTTTCCCTAAGTGAATTGAACTTTTTGTTCGAGGGCTCAAAGTATTTCTGTGTTCTCTTTTGTTCATATTTCTCAACCTGTGTCATAGTTCCCTATCTGATAGGTAAACATTGTAATATATTTGTTTATTTATTTATGTTGTTACACCTGGAGAAACTTTTTTCTGCTTCCATTGACCCATGGATCTTGTTCTTTTTCATGTTTATTGAGGTATGGTTGACATAATAGCATCTAAGTTTAAGGTATACACTGCGTTGATTGGTACACTTATATATTGCAAAATGATTTTACCTAACACTTTCATCACATCACATAATTGCCATTTCCTTTTTGTGGTGAGAACTTTTAGGATCTATTCTCTCAGCAACTTTCAAGTCTATATAATACATATCGCTAGCTCTAATCACCATGCTGTACATTAGATCCCCAGAACTTACTCATCTTGTAACTGGAAGCTTATACCCTTTGACCAAAATCTCATTTCCCTTAACTTTTAGTATGTTTACTGTTCACCTTTTATTTATATATGTTCTTGTAAACTATAAAAAAGTGCATGTGTGTATTTTTCATTTATATAAATGGTATTGTTATATCTCATTGTTTCACTCAACTTTTTTAAAGATCTGTCCACATTGCTCTTGTACTCCTGTGATGCATTGACCTCTCATCGCCCGTGTCCTCTCTCAGTGACCGAAGGCCTTCAAATCCATGCCCTCACCAACAGTGGCAGACACCCTTCTGTCTCCTTACACACTTGAATGAGATCAGTTGACCTGAATGGTCATATCATTCTGAATTCCCACTAGAAGTGCAGAGTGTTTCTTAATTTCTGTGCTCCCTCCCTCCCTAAGAGTCAGCATTATGCAACTTTCCAATTTTTGGCAGTCTAATAGAGCAAAGAGATATGTCATTTCCATTTTTCTGATAACTAAGCTAGACATCTCTTAATATGCTCATTTCTCTTTTGGGCTTCCTCTTAGATAAATTGCCTTTCTGTATCTTTTGTACTCTTCCGCTGAGGTTCCTGTCTTTCCTTGTTTTAAAGTAGTCCCTTGTACATCCTTTGCTTTGTTTTGGTATTACAGATACCTTCTTCCAATCTATTATCTGCCTACTAGAAATTGTCCAAAGTGACTTTACAGAGCAGAAATGTTTGATTCTTATGTAATCCAATTATTTAGACTCTTCTTTTATTTTTGGTGAGGCTTTAATTATTTCCTTAGGTAACCAGGATGTTTTCTATTATTTTTCTTCTATTAATTTTAGAGTTAATATATTATACACTGAAATCTTTTACCCAGGTAGAGTCCTTGTTTTCATATGGCATTGGTAGTGACCCAGAATTTTAAAATTATATAGTGAACTAGTTTACTCTCTAAAAGCTCCAAATAATTTTTGCTGTCCCCCTGGCATTAAAGTGCCTCCTCTGTTAAACAGTAAGTTCCCATATCAATGTGGGTCAATCTCTGGGCTCTCTCTAATGTTTCATTAGAAGAATGAAAGGTCCATTTGTATGGATTCTTACACTAATAATACCTTTTTTTATTACTATAATTTCAAAGTAAGTCTTGATATGTAATGGAGAAAGCTGATCCTCTTTCCTCTTCTTCAGGGCTGACTTAGTTGTTAAAGAACCTTTTATATTTTCATACAGTTTTTATTTTCCAGATTTATTGAGAGATAATTAACATAAAATTAGAAGTTTAAGTCATACAATGTAATAATACATTTATTGCAAAATGATTACCACAATAAAGTTAATACATCTGTCTTCTCACATAGTTATAATTTCTTTTTGTAGAAGAACTTTTAAGATCTACTCTCTTAGCAACCAACTTTCAAGTATACAAATACAGTGTTATTAACTATAGTCACCATGTTATTTATATGTTATCTCCCCAGAACTTATTCATCTTATAACTGGAAGTTTATACCGTTTGACCACGTTCAGCTGTTTTCATCCACAACCACCCCTGGCAATCACCAATATACTTTTTATTTCAAGGAGTTCCTTTTTTTTTTTTTAGATTCCACATGTAGTTGAGATCATACAATATTTGTCTTTCTCTGATCTATTTCAGTTAATACAATGCCTCAAGGTCTATTCATGTTGTTATTACAAGTGGCAAGATTTTCTCCTTTTTTATAACTGAATAATACTCCATTGTGTATATATAACATATTTTTGGTATCCATTCTTCTGTCAGTGGACACTTAGATTGTTTTCATATCTTGGCATTGTTAATAATGCTGCAGTGAACATAGGGATGCAGATGTCTCTAAAAGAGAATGATTTTATTTCCTTGGAACATGTACCTGGAAGAATTGCTGGATCTTGTCATGTAAATTTTAGGGTAAATTGAGAATGTACTTAAGAAGGTCACTGAAATTTTGATAGGGGTCGTATTAAATACATAAATTAACTTGAAGAAAATTGACATCTTTAAAATAATAAATCACCCTACACAAGAAAATGAAATGTATCTATTGATTTGTATCATTGTCACATCCTTTATCGAGTTCTACTAAAGTTTTCTCCATGAAGGGCTTATGTATTGTTGCTTAATTCTTAGATATTTATAATTTTGTTACTACTACTACTACTGCTTTTTAGTTGATTATTGCTAAAGTATTGAGATGCTTTGGGGCTTAGTCTTGTGTCTGGCAACATTGCTGAACTTTGTTAGGTGTAAAAATGTGCTTCTCTTGGCTGTTCTAAGTAGATGATGCTGTCACTTGTAAATTGTGATAAATCATCTCTTCCCTTCCAATACATGTATCTTTTGTTTTTTATTCATAGTGCTGGCCAATATTTTCAGTATGTATTAGGTATAGCAGTGAAAATCTGCATCCTTGTCTTATTCCCAGTTTCATAAAGAATGCATCTGAAGTTTCTCCATTAAGTAAAATGCTTGCTGTAGATTTTTGATATATAATCTTTACTTATATAAATCAATTTAAAGAAGTTTCCTTCTATTCAGATACTTTTTTATTGAAGTATATTTGATATATAACATTATTTTTGTTTTACAGCACAATTAGGTGTACCACATAATGACTCAGGTATTTGTAGCTTTGTGAAATGATAACCATAATAAGTCTAGT